CCCCCCCCCCCCCCCCCCCAAAAAAAAATCTAAAATAAAATAAAACAAATCCTTTGTCATTAGGTCCTTAGTCCTTACCGAAGCGGTTAAAAATATATTTTTCTAGGTATAGTTAATGGCTTGAAGAATAATGAGTTTACTGCAAAGGATAAAACTGAGATCTCTCTATTCCTAGAGCGTGCCTTTGTTCGATTAGAAGCATGGTTCCAATGGTTCAATACAACTCAGTCAGGTATACACTATAATGGCCTCATCTGATTGAGCACTGGAAATAGATTGCTTCTTTCTGAACAGTGAAGACCCCCCTCCCCCCTCCCCCTTTTTTTATTCTTATCAGGGAAACAGATGAGCAGCTATTATTGGCATGGACGGGACAATAAGACTATACTTGAATTAAATCCCAAGGTTCTAATATGCCTTCTTATTATACCTTTACTTTCTTTTGTTACTTGTCTGCAATTTCAATCTGAACTACTTAGATAGCTCGGCAGATTAACTTGACAAAAAAAAACCATTGGCATACTTCCAACAGAAGATTGCTATTGCAACAAGCCCTTCACAAGCATAAAGTTGCAAACCCGGTTGTTCAAGATTTCTTGTCACTTTTTGCCTCTTTGGCTATTGGTGGTCAATTTATTTGGTTGTACCAACAGGATACAGTAGGAACTTAATTTTTTCCTGAAATATTGAGCATGGAACCTGAATTCTCATTTGCAGTTATGTTGTTCTTTGAGCTTTTTACGTCGAAATATCACATAATACAGCCATCAGTGTTTATGTTGATTTCTTATGACAAAGCTTTCCTTGTCCTTAATGAAGACACTTGCTCCTAAAAAACGTTAATTCTGGCATTTTCAGACACTCACCTCTGGATTCGATGATTATCCACGTGCTTCACACCCAAGTGCAGATGAACGGCACGTGGATCTTAGATGTTGGATGTTACTTGCAGCAGATTGTTTGCATTCCATTGAAGAGTTGTTGGATAAGGAAACCAAACCCGAAGGGGTATAAATTTGAAAAATAAATTCAACAATATTGTAATAATGCATTGTGAATTTTTTTTTATATAAAGTAGGGTAAATGTAGGCAGCAGAAAGTTAAATCACCTAAATTATTTGTCATATTGAATGAAATGATGCAGAATTATGGTTCTACTGCTAAATTGCTATCAGATGTCGAGTTGCTGAACCAGGTATTTTTCCTTTGCTCCTCGTCTTCCTTTCTTCAAATTTGTTGTTGGGGATGTAGTACTAACAGGAGCAAATAGAGTGAAGATAAAGAGGAGAGACAAATAAAATGGAGGAAGAAAGAGGAAAGAGAACAGTACATCTATAGAATAACTAGAATTAGAAATATCCTGTAAAACAAATCACTCTTCTGGAAAAGAAAACTTATGTCCTTATTTAGAAGACTATTTATTTATTGAGTTTTTCTGCAAAACGGAAAATCTGGAAAAGAAAGCTTTGCCTGACTTTTTCCCGTGTAATATAGATAATGAAAATGAGTCTCATCTGAGTGGATAATCGATGCAGTTTGATACAGGGAAAACAATCAGATATTTTTTCTTTCTTTTTTAAATGGCTTTTAAGAAAAGAAAAAACAGAAAATTGAAAGGAAACTATGCAGTTGGTTTGCATCAAATGTTTTCTTGACACTAGAGTCAATTTGATGCCACTATCCATGCCTAATATGTGCTCGATGTCCATTCACTTTTCAGATGCATTATGATGACAGATATGGTGCTTACTTTGATTTTGGAAATCATACAGAAAAGGTATATTGTTTAGTTATTATGTTCAGGAATTTTTTTCTTTTTTTTATGAATGTTCAGAATTAGTATAAGTATGTTTCAAGATTAAGAATGCATGGGTTCCGGGTTCCTTATTCACGTCTGACAATGAGATGTTTCTTGTATGTTTGCATAAGTTTTTCCACAGATATTTATAAGAAAAAAAATTAAAAAGAAAAAATGAAATAAACTTCTTTTATAAATTAAAATTAACTTATGCATCATGTTAAAATTAACTTTTTAGTTAAACTTATTTTATTTTATTTTTTTCTTTTTAATTTTTTCCTCTTAAAAGTACTTGGGAATAAACTTATCCCAACAAAACCTTAACTATGTTAGATTCAACTTAAATGGAAAGAAGTGGAGATAGGACACAATAATACTGCTCGCCAGCTTGTCAGGGATGTTTTAGAGAGGCCCGTATTGAGAATGGTTCCTCACATTGGTTATGTTAGTCTATTCCCATTCATGGGGAAGATCATTTCACCTGTAAGTAATTCACATATTCTCAACATTATGAACTTTTTATCCTAAAACCTAACAAGTTTTTCCTTGCTTGACTGACTTCACGATTAGATGCTCACTTTAATATGACTGTCTCTCATTCAGGGATCATGGATTCTGGAAAAGCAACTTCAACTCATTTCAAATGATAGCCTCTTTTGGACTGACTTTGGACTACGATCACTTGCCACGACAAGGCCTACTACCTATATTCAAATGCATTTTCAATAGATTTAATTTGTATGACCTTATTCAGCATGAGTCGATTATAGTGAACCAATTTTTTTTTAATTTATTTCACAGTTCCTTGTACATGAAATTCAACTCAGAGAGGGAAGGCCCATATTGGAGAGGTCAAATTTGGATAAACATGAATTACAGAATTCTTTCAGCGCTCCATCATTACTCCAAAGGTAATTTGAATTGAACAGTCCTAGTCCATATATCTGCAAATATTACACTTCATTGATACCTCTTTGTGAATGTTGTAGAGAATGGGCCATATCAGGACATGGCTAAAGCCATCTATAAAGAATTGAGAAGCAATTTAATAAGGTATTGTTTGATTTTGTTTGGTACCATTGTAGTATTGTTCTCAAGATATAGGTTGTTTTTTAAAAAATAATTTCCATCTTACTGCAGAAATATAGTACGCAATTATGAAGAGACTGGATTTTTGTGGGAACAGTATGATCAGAATAATGGTAAGGGAAAAGGGTCACATCCATTCACCGGCTGGACATCGCTTATGGTACTAATCATGGCAGAAGCATATGACATAATTTAGGTTACCACATTATCCAAATACCCAACAGCATTGGACCTTTTATACACTCTGGAGTAATCAAAACAAGATCTTCACAGAATATCATAAGAAGGGCATCTAATTTCTCATAAGGCTATCATACTACAACTAAGTATAATAACCCCCCACCAACTCCCTTGGCTGGTGTCAATAATGTATTTCAAATTAAAAGTGATATCGACAAAGTTCTGTAGAGACTTAAAAAAAAATCTGTAGAGGCTAAAAGTTATCATTCCAAAGGCTACTTTGTCTGTGTTTAAGCATCATATCAAAGATCCTCTTGTCTTGCACCTTTTTCAGGAATTATAAAGGAAACAGAGTTTTAAAACAAGATTCCTCCACCCTCACTTTTCAGAAGCTACTACGACATTCTAGGAGATTTTCATTTGTACTATGGACATGAATGGAGTTCTTCACTATGTATCAGTAATCAGAATCAAGGCAGGATTCGAAAATTCTTCCGACCAAATAATAATATATAAAATTAGTGAGTGAGACATGGATGGAGTTGTTCAGTATAAACAAGTAATTTCGTTGTAATTTGCGAGGGAGCATATCTTATGATTAGACTAGTGAGCTCAAAGAGTTCCTAGCATAAAAAATTAACTCATCTAAAATATTAAAATAAAATAAATGTAACTACATGTGATGTTTTTAGTCTTTTATCTTATTTTTAAAATTTATTTTAAATTTTTATTAAAATATTTATTTTAATTATTGATTTATTTTTTATATTTAGGTTATTTTAATACTTTTAAAATCATAATAATTTTTAATTTTGTGATAAGGATTTGAATCAATTTTTTTATTAATTTAAAATGTAAGACTTATAATATTAAATTTATCCATATAAAAATCATGAAATATAATTGACGTTCAAATTTTAAAAAGATATAAATATAATAAAAATTATATGAAAAATATATTTTATCAACAATATAATATGAATTTTTTTTTAATTTTTAATTTTATTTTCACCTTGTATATAACATCTTTCATTTCAACTTTATTCAATAATTTTTATATAATTAAATCTAATAAATAAATTATAATTCTTGAATGAGTAAGAAAATAATTTTAAAAAATTAAATTAACCTAAATTTAAAAATAAAAAGATCAAAATAAACATTTTAAAAGATAAAAAATTGAAATAAATATAAAATATAAGATAAATAACAAAAATATTATTTAGGAGTTCTAGTTATCACCTTTCAAATATAAGCATATTAGTTTCATGACTTTGAATAAAAATCCTAGCATCGTAAAATATAACAAATTATGCACCCATAAAACGGTGTTTGTCATGAATTCTTAAAAAAAAAAAAAAAGACTAATTTTTATCTGTTTGAGATTAATATGGATTGTAAATCAATCTAAAAGGGGACGGTGGACCAATTATATGTCTAAATCAGATTAATGACTTATCCGAAGTATGGATAGTTAACTCATTTGAAATAAAAATTACTATGGATTGTTGAATACCAACTCTTCTTAAAATACAAGGAAATTGAAGTTTGAATTCTATTTAAGTTGGTCAAGACTATGAAAAAATGTTGTACTAACAAAGCACACTTTGACAAGAGACAATAATAATCAACCGGATTAACAAGATATATCAACTGCACATTGATGTTAATAAATAATTAGAGAAAATCATGTTCAAATCGCTATTATGTATCTATTTAACTATCAAATTTTTAGTTTTTGATTTATTCATGTTTTAGATTTTTCGTTTGGATTGATTCATGGTCGCCCATAATAATAATAAATAAAAAAAAGCGTTCATATTTAGATTGAGTCCGTAACATGCTTCCATTTTTTTTTCTAATATTATTTTGAATTTTTATAAAGAATAAATTTCAAACTTAACTCAACTTAAATTTTAGGATAAATTATAATTTTAATCTTTTATAATATTTAATTTATAATTTTGATCGTCAATTTTTAATTATACAATTTTAATTTTTAATTTAATGAAATTTACAATTTTGGTCTAATAGTTAAATATTTATTTATTGATAGTTAAAATTGTATCTTTGACCATAATCTAACATTAAGTAATAACATGATATGAACCTTTATCTTATATGAGTGTGTTTAATTTTTTTTTAATGATGGAGTTTGTAAATTTTTTTTTTAAACTTTTTTATCTAATTTAATTTTTATTTATCATAATTATTTATAAATTAAATATTAATATTATAAAATAATTTTTAATAAATAAAAATATTTTTTTACTATAATATAAATTATTTATCATAAATCTAAAATATAATTTATATATTTAAATATAATATTTATTTATACATATAATTTATATAAATTTTAGTTATATAATAAACGTGTTTATATATTACATAAACTAAAATATTAAAATTTAGATTAAATTATACTTTAGTCTCTATTTTTACCCTTACAAATGAGACAAAAATGCAAGCTCAGAGTCCAAATTAACTTAAATCTTAATAAATACGAATTTCATGTGATCTACTTAATTTAGATCATAATTAATATTTATGATTTTAATTATTAATCAATAAATATTTAAATACAAATAAAAATAAAAAGATTTTATAAAATTAAGAAACTAATAAGTCACGTAATTAAAATTTAAGAAATCGAATTCACTTATTAAAAATTATACAGGATAATAAATGCAATTTATTCTAAATTTTGTTTTATACGAATCATATCAATCCAAGCGACCTGCAATCCCTCCTAGCCAATTCGAAGCGGGCCAAATTTGGGTCTTCGGGTAAAATAAGGTTAAAACTGGGCCAGGTTAGTCCAAACTTAAGCCCAATAATAATCTTTACTGTGAAGTCCATCATCGGTCAAGTCATTCGTCTCTTTGCTTCAGGTACTTCCTTCCGAACTCCACTGCTACGTTACACTTGGAAAAACCTCTGCTACGCAAACACTCCCTCCATTTCAGCTCCAAAACCCTATGCATGCGGTGGCGTGAATCTCTGATCTGCCAAAAATGTCCGGAAGTGGAAGAAGAACCGTTCGCAGCAGAGTCAGATCCCTCTCCGAGGCCGACGCCGATTCCCTTCAGGAAAGGAGGCCTGCGTTGAATCGCCACAGAGAGAGAAGCAAATACGGAAGCTCCATTCCACTATTCAGAAGTGCCAATCTCAGAGTTGTGCTAGGTATCTGCTTCCTCGCATTCTTCGTCATCTTGTTCATGATCCATCACCTCTTGCTCGCGGAACCGAAGCTTCCTCGCGCCGTTACGCCACTTCCTGCGCCGAAGATAATGGACCTTCCTCAGGTTAGCTATTACCTTCCTCCGTTTTTCTTTTTTTCTTTTTATTTTTGAGAATTCGATGATTAAGAGCTGAGAATGATTTGGTGTTGTGGCAGTTTCAAGGCGAGCACAAGGAGAGTTTGTATTGGGGAACTTATCGGCCTCACGCGTATTTCGGAATTCGTGCCAGGTATGATTTTACCGTCTCCGAAACACAATTCAAAGATATTTGTTCTGGAATGGTTGTATGCATGAGGTGAACTTTTTTTATTTATTGATTTGATGAAACCGAGGTTATGCAGACTCTTTGCTTTGGTTTGTTTGCGCCGAAATGGAATTGTGGAAGTAGAGAGACTATTTTCGTGGTTCAGGCTTTATAGTGTTGATGGTGCAGAGTCTGAGTATATTTTGAGTTGTGTGAAATTTGAATGATTTATGCCAGCTAATTGTGCATCACATACAAAGTGGTGTGCCAAATTTTGACTTAGATTATGTTCAGGATATCTCTGTTTTCAGCATTTGACAAAGAAAGCAAGCGATCTCACTTTTTTTTTTTTGGTTTTTTGGTTGGGTGGTTGTGGTGGTGGTGGTGGTGTTTGTGTTTCAGGACTCCAAAATCATTGATTGCTGGATTGATGTGGATTGGTGTGAAGGACGGCAGATATCACTTGCGGCATGTTTGCAGACATGAGGATGACCTAAGTACTTATGGTTGGACAAGACACAATGGACGTGACTTTGGACATCAAGTACTGGTTGACCATGGCATGACCTTGACTACTGGGTTTTTAAAATCAAAATCGGAGGGCAGTGGTTATGGAGGGGATTGGGCTGTTCGAATAAATGTGCAACTTGATAAGTGAGTGATATCAACTTTAAAGCATTTTCATATAAATAGAGGCAGAACAATTTTGTCTGTAGTTTTTACTTATTGTAAATGCAAAGTAGATGCTAGCACATATGTTGAAGTTAGAGATGCGCTAATGGCACGCTTGTTAATTTTAAATTACTTGTAGCTTTTTGGTTTGACCAATTTCCTCAATTAATTATAATAAACAACCTAATAAGTAATGACATTGATGTTAATTTCCGTGCTGAAGTTTCTTGTGTTTCCCTGTATGAGTCTCTGCATCTTAGTATTTGCTTAATTTTATAACTTTTATTTATTGACTACCTTTGTTCTTGTGTTCCATCGTCAGGTCCAAGTGGAATGAGGAATTTGGGAGAGGTGCCCAGCTCTTTTTCTATTTGGCTGATGAAGCTGGTAATGCTCTAGATGTAAGTGGAGAAAACATGAACATTCATGAGGATTCTTTGCTAGCATCCGGCTCCCGAGCGGACATTGGAGATTGGCAGTTACATTTAAAATCAATGGTAATATGGAAATTGGGGTAGTGGTTGAATATTCCAGATTCTCTTACCCGTACACCATTGGTCATTTTTTGGACCTTATGGTTGACTGCTTGTGATTGACTTGCACTTCCTCAAAGAAGCACCACAATTCCTGGTTCCTTCTTTGAAACAGTTTAAAAGTATGATAAACCAATGAATGTCCACCTTTTAAAGCAAACATGTAATATGCCTCTATTTAGTGCTATAACTAACTAAATCAAAACTTCCAGACGTTCATTTTCCTTTGATCTATAATTAAATTAACACAAACCATTTCCTCTCTTGCCCCAGTGTTGTAATTGAGATGAAACCTCTTGATTATCTGTAATCTTATGCCTGGTAGTAACCTGTTATTGACTTATGTTTTATAACTCTCAGGATAATTTGGAGATGCATTATGCTGGATTTCACACGCCTCACTTTCACAATTTGTCTGATTTCATAGAGGAAAATCTTGCTTCACAAGTAGGTTAGGGTATTTCAATAAAATTTATTTGATTATAATATATTTTCTATGAAATGCAAGAATATGTGGTTATGGATTTTGTTTCATTTGGTTTTGCCTTGATATCTTTGCTTATGTACATGTTTTAGTAGATAAGAAAGCATGCTCGGCTGGAGCTGTCTGACTCGTTAGATGATTCTCCAAATGTGTTAGTTTTTCAGGTAAATAGACCATGTACATTTCTAATACCTGTTTAACAACTTTAATGTTTAATTCGTGAGTCTTTCTCTCTCTCTCCCACTTGCTCACTCTCTCACACGCACAACATCTCTCCAACTACTCTTGGAAAAATCTTCCCTTATGCTTCTCATTTTTATTTTTTTTTGTGCTGCAGATTATTGGTGGATTTCCTTTCACAACAGATATTGCACTAATCTCTGGAACTGATTCAGATAGTTCTAGAATAGAAGAGCGTGTCAGTATGCTTACAGGTTTTTTCCACTTCATAGTGTTTGTACAAAATGTTGCATGTATAATGTGTGCTTTCACAAAATGGAGGAAAAAAAATACAGTCCTTTACTTGTAGGAGTTGATCATTGCTTTGGAAACCTGCATCTCATGCTGATGGACATTGTTGTGGCCTATAAAATTGTTGCTAATTTTATTAATTAATGTGATGGCCAAAATTTGGAATATATGTCTCCTTTGCTTTCTGTTGAAAACTGTCTATATTCCTAGGAATTATGTCTAGGATAGTGGAATAGCCAGATTCATGTATGGCTATTAGTATTCTGGGGAGTTACATTTCCTATTATTGCTTACTAATGTAAATTAATCTGCAATGATTATAAATAAGAGGTTCTCCGTAGTGCTTCATACACTCAAGCAATTTCATCAAATTGTTCTATTCTTCAACTTGAATTCATTTCTTTTGGCTTTTGGTTTGTCACCGTCTTAGAATGTTTTCTTGTCAAAGTATTATATATTGTAAAGAGAACTAGGACATACTTTACTAAATTTGTAGAATAACTTATTTTAATTGACATTAGTATGCAAAATTAATTGTTTGTTATTCTGCTCAATATTAGGTATCTCGTTGTCCAATCAGCTGAAATATAAAGAACAAGAATTTGATGAAAAGTTTGAGAAAATTTTCCATTTGGCTGAGAAGGTACTAATTTTATTGTCCTTTGACTTGTTATTTTTATTTTTTTAAAATTTACTCTCTCAAATTCAATGAATTATTCTTCTTTGTTTTGTCTTTATTTTCAAGTTTCATTTGATTGAGTAAATTCGTTTAGAAGCCTATCCTTGATAGAAATAAATTATTTATCATTGTAGTGGATTTCCAGGTGGATTCTGAATCCATATCTGTTGGTAAGGCTGCTGTTGGAAACTTATTAGGTGGCATTGGCTACTTCTATGGCCAGTCAAAAATTGCTGTTTCAAGAATCCTTAATGTAAGTTAATTTAGTTTTTTTTTTTTCATTCCTTATTTGTCACCCCTTAATAATAGTGTATAACTTGACATGTGATTATCATAAATGTGAAAGCTGTTTCATGTGTTTTATTATCTAGTGGTAAAGAAGAAATATTAGAGACGAGAAACATTAGTAAAATAAACAGAGTATTGCTAACCAACAAAGAGGATTCTGGCTAAACTAAAGTTTTCTTCAGTTGCAAACGTAACTGAATTAATGCTTATTGAAAACCTAGACAAGCTAATTAATTAGTGTATCATGCTGCTGATCAACGAAGAATTTACTTTGGAAATAATATTATCCAAACACTGTTAAGTTGCTAACAAGAGTGAAAGACTAATTTATCCTAAAGACAGCATAAAAAAAATTATCCTTGTAATTTTTAGCTTGTCTCTAACTACAGGCACCTAATTAGAGCATACATTGTAAATTGCTAAGTTGCCTCGCCCTTCTTATCCCTTCTCCTAAAACCCTCAAATTGGAGAAAATGTTCCGAGATTTGTACAAATTCATGGTTTGCCAATATTATAAAATGTTGTACCACAAATATCTAACTGGCGGACATGTGACTCATAATTGGAGACAAATTTTAATCATGTGTGTGCACCTACAACTCATCAATTATATTAATGGGCAAAATCCTAAATTGGTCTTCCAAAGATTAATGGTATCACCACATTTGTCCTCAAGATTTTGTCACCAAAATAGCCTCCCAAACATGGTTCAAATTGTGGTTGCAGTCACTGCATTTGTAGGCATGTGGATTGTGGCCATTAAGGCATGAAATTATTAAATATTTGCACCAGATGTATAAGAAAACTATAATTATTGATATATCCTTTGTTTATTTGCTTGTATACATTTTCATTCATTTTTAAAGTTTTGTATCATTTTAAGGAATACTTTATAAGAAATTTATAATAAAAATAAAGGTGCAAAAATATAAACAAAAAGAAAGATAAACATAAGTTACTAGTCACATAAATTTAGAATAGATTGTTTCATTGATGAGTAAGAAATTTAAAGGTATATAAATCTAAATCTCAAATAGATTAAATAAAAAAATGGTCCGACATAGAGGAACATATCTGCCTGCAAGTTTGATTGCCATCAATTATCTAAAATTAATTTCACCCTTTAGAGATACATGGTCACTACAAAGAAAAATATGATAAAAACTCATAATTAATATTATAAAATTATAAGAGCATTAATTATTTTTTATCAATTAAAGAATTATATGTAATCAAACTATAACTCATGATAATTGTTACCACATGCAATAGTGGTGAGGAAGATTATAACTTCTACTTTCACTATCACCTTGTGTAGCTTCTTGTTCAAAGACATAATAAAAATCCACTACTTTGTTTTTGATAATAAAGATCATGATAATTAGTGGTATGGGGGAACTTGATCACTTGTATATTGAGTGTATGCATTGAAATAAGGATATTGATAAACTGATAGTAGATAGTACCCTTGAGTACTTTGAGAAAAATTGTCAATATTGAAACCACTAAAAACTTTGTGCAATATGAGAAGAAGAAGAACAATCTTCTAGTGATACATTTTGTTTCTTTTTCCTTCTTTGAACTCATGAATTGCCTCTTCTATTACATGGAAATGAACAATAAAAATGAAATCTATTATTAGATTTGTGTCATGCCTTATCATATGACATTTTGTATAGATCATTTTCTCTGTTCATCTTTACCACTATTTTCTTCAACTTGTAAGTAACGTTCATCATCACCACTATTATTATTTGGTGGGCTTAAGTCACCACCATCATTACCATGATGCGTATCAATTCGAGGCTACCATTTTGAATTTGTACTCCATCTAGAAGTGAATTTTCTCTTTCTTCTATCCATGGAGATAAATGAATATCTTCTCGAAATGTGTAGTCAAGATTAATTGGATTGAAATTTGTTTCAATTTCCTCTTGAGTTTTTCTCATTTGATGCCTTATTTTCAACTTCATATTATAATGTGTGAAGACAAGCTTTTGTGACTTTCTATATTTGAGTTTGTTCCTTGTCTTTGTATGAATGTAGCTAAATGTGCTCCAATTTCATTCACAATTTGTGGTTGAAGTTGTTCAACTCAACTTTAATAGTCACATGTTGAAGTTTAGGAGAACATGTGGTGGTCTCATGAATTTCAGTGGGTGGCTTAAAGTTTTAAGTCAAACAACTGCAGCCACAAATTGTGAGAAAAATTTGAACACATTTAGTGACATTCATACAAAGATAAGAAACAAACTCAAATATAGAAAATTATAAATAAAAAAAATTTGTCTTCATACATTATAATATAAAGTTGAAAATGAAGTATTGATTTAGTCAAGGGCAAGAAATTGAAATGCATTTCAATCCAATTAATTTTGACTATATATTTCAAGAAGATGATTCATTGTCTCTATGCATAAAGAAAGAGGAAATCCACTTCTAGATGAAGTAAAAAATTTATAATGGTTGCTTTAAATTAATAAAGATGATGAAGTTGTGAAAGGTGGTAAGGATAATGGTAATGATGGTAGTGACTCAAGTCCACTAATAAGGGTGACATATAAGTTGAAGTATATAATGGTGACATATAAGGGTGACCCCTAGTTGAAATCCTCGCAAAATTTGAAGCAAGTATGGTAAGAACTTTGGTAGAACTGCACCATAAAAGCTAATTGTTGTAGTTGGAGAGTCACAGGTCTTACAAACCCCACACATAAATCTCATACTTACAATATGGGACTCAAGTCTCATACTTTGTAATTGAATCCTAACATTTCTCCACACTCTGCAGCCTAAGCATTCACATGGGCTAACTGTTCACTATCCTTTGACTAATCCTGGGTGAACATTGCAATGCTGTCGTCACCACCTAAGTTGCTCATTTGTAGTCTTGCACAGCTGAGAGAATGGTGAAAGGTTCTAATACCAATTAATAGCCCAAGGTGTTGTAAACCCCACACTAGTATTCCATACTTCCAATGTGGAACCCATGTCCCATACAATGCAATTTGCCGCTAACTAAGAACACCCTCCAAATCTTTAAAAAAAAAAAACGAAGGAAAGGAATGAAAGAAGTGTAACTTGGTGAAATAAGTAACCAATGACTGGAATAAGTTGCATTGACCGTATGCCACGTATTCCTCCATTTTGCTGAGTCCTATCCTTTGCTAGTGAATTGAGAATCTGAATCTTAAAGGAAACTGCTACGAATAGTTTGCTAGCAATGGCAATATTTTAAAACCCAATTGTTGCCTTATGTAGAATTGTGTTTTGTAAAGTTTCTTGATAGGTGGTCATTCTCTGGTTCATTGCAGAAGTTTAGTTAGATGAGATGTGAAACATTTATCTAGCTTTTAATTAATATTTTTGCAGTTAACTCAAGATATTACTTTGTTAGAAAGATAATTTTAACAGAAATCTGGTGCCTGTTGCTAGGTTTGTATTAATTTGCTGCTGTTTGTCTTGTTCCTCTTAAATTTTTCATCCTAACAATGACTTAGGTACTTTTAAATTAATTCTTGATGTTGGAAATCTCACATCGGCTAGATGTATGATAAAAATAGATTATATAAGTAGAGTTAATCTTCATCTTACAAGTCAGTTTTGTAAGATTTAGTTAGACCTAAATCCCACTTATCGGGCAATTTGGACCACTTGTAGATGTCCAATCATACAAATTTAACGCTCTTGAATTTCAGTTCTCAACACAAGAAGTATGTTGAAGATCCTATATTGACTAGTGGATGGCCAAAATAGAGTTTGTAAGCAGAGACAATCATCATCTTACAAGTTGGTTTTCTAGAGTTTAGTTACCAAAACCCATATTCTTAAAAGATGTCATGGCTTTTGTCTCCTTTTTACAACAAAATATTTCCATCTTTAGTACTTTTAATTAGCTGTCATCAATTTAGAACTCGAACAGATATGCAATAGGTTGGTTTCTTTGCAGCTTAGGGAACGTGTCAATTATTTACCATATTGGCCAGCTGAGCTTTACACATCTGTTCCAAGTCGATCTTTCTTTCCAAGAGGATTTTTATGGGATGAAGGTTTCCATCAACTTATCATCTGGTTAGTTTTTTGGTCTAATAATGTCCTTCATAACCACCATCACCTATTATTATTATTATTATTATTATTATTATTATTATTATTATTATTATTATTATTATTACTGTTTAAAATTCTCCATATTGCGCAAGACTTACTAGTATTAATTAACAAACAAATTATCTGTCATCTATAAATATGCTTTATTTGCACTTGTACACATTAACCAGGCGTTGGGATATTCATATTTCGTTGGATATCATTGGACATTGGTTAGATTTGATGAATGTTGATGGATGGATACCACGTGAACAAATTCTGGGGGCTGAAGCACTGAGGTGTGGTACAAAATATATTGTTAAAATAATTGCAATGAATTTAAAGTTCTTAGCTGTGCTATTGACATAGATTCTTCTGTACTTACAGTCGGGTCCCAGAGGAATTTGTTCCTCAACATCCAACTAATGGAAATCCTCCAACTCTGTTTTTAGCGTTAAATGGTATGTGTTAATGTTCATTTTCCATTTCCCCTTGTTATATTTTCATCTACTTCTAGTTATGAAAATCATTATTTCAAAAATTAAGGCTATAAATTCAAGCAAGTTCAGGCTATATGTGATAATTAACAACTTCCAGATTGGTTATTTTTGTGTCTTCTGTGGTAACATATCCATGTAACCTCTTATGCACAAACACTTCCTTAATCGAAGTGTTGCAATGTCGGACCTGTTTCCGACACCAGCACACCTTGACACTTGTTGAATATATGTTAGACACTTCTATTTAGGTGTCTATTTAAAAAATTAAATTGTTAGCTTGAACACTCAAGTCAACACCACCACATTTCATACACTTGAGTCAACACATCCTTATGAATGGACACACTGATATTATAAGAATTTTTTTTTGTAACTTTTAGATAAGTTAGCTTAACATATAACAAAATATATTAAAAAAATAATGTCTCACCTTTTTAGGTTTGTTATCATAAAAAAAAACATAGAAAGTTGGTTTTTAAAAGTGAATATACAATCAATTTAGATATTTTGTTTTGTTACTCATTTCATTTCATTAGTTTCTCTTTTTTCTGTGTTTGTGTGTATCCAGTGTCCAAGTGTCTTATACTTTAGACATCAGTCATGTAACAGTGTCTTTGCTGTGTTTGGTGTTTGTGTCAGAGTTCGTGCTTCATAGTGTGGAACTCTTTGCACATTCTTGATTTAACTTTGGCATCATTCATAACTGATCTGGATTTGATGATACTCGAGATATTGAGTAATAATTTATGGACAGTTTTGACAATTTATATTATATCTAAAAATATTTAGATCAGAAACGTGTGAAACATTAATTTGGTGATGCTGAATTAGGTTAAAAATCTGTTTTTGTAGATATAATTAACAGCTTGAAGAATAATGAGTTTACTGCAATGGATAGAAGTGAGATCTCTCAATTCCTGGAACGTGCTTTTGTTCGATTGGAAGCATGGTTCCATTGGTTCAACACAACTCAGTCAGGTATATGCTACAGTGCACGTGTTGTCTGATTGAGCACTGCAAATAGATTGTTTCTTTCTTGACCCCTTTTTTCTTTATTATTATCAGGGAAGCAGATGAGCAGCTACTATTGGCATGGACGGGACAATAGGACAACAGTTGAATTAAATCCCAAGGTTCTAATATGCATCCTCAGTATACTTTTAACTTCTCTCAGCACTTATCTTCAATTTCAATCTGAGCTATATAGGTAGCTCAACATAATAAGTTGACCAAATCAACCATTGGCATTGTTTTAACATAAGTGAATGTTAAGGCAACCACACATGCTCATTGATAAACTGCTATTACAAGCCAAATCCTACATAAGCATAGAACTGCTAACATAGTTGCTTTAGATTTCTTGTCACTTTAGGCTGTTGGTGGTCAATTTATTTGATGGTATAAAAGAATACAATAGGACACATTTTTTTCTGAAAAAATAGCCTTTTTAGATGCTACTGGATGAGTTTGAAGCCAGAATTCTTGCAGTTAGTTGTTATTTGATCTATTACCCAAGGATAGGATTAAATGTCACAGTTGTCAGTGTTTGTTGGTCGATTATGACAAAGCTTACTTTATCCTTAGTGATAACTCTTGCTCCTAAAAAGCATTATTTCTGTCATTGTCAGACACTGTCCTCTGGATTGGATGATTATCCACGAGCTTCTCATCCCAGTGCAGATGAACGCCACTTGGATCTTAGGTGTTGGATGTTACTTGCAGCAGATTGTATGCATTCCATTCAAGAGTTGTTGGATAAGGAAAGCAAACCTGGCATGGTATAATTTGGAGAAAATAAACTACAGTATTATAGTAATGCATTGTACAAGTAGGGTAAATGTTGGCAGCAAAAAGTTCTAATTTAATTGACATTGAATGAAATGATGCAGAATTATGGTTCTACGGCTAAATCACTATCGGATTTTGAGTTACTGAATCAGGTATTTTGCATTTGCTTCTCATCTCCCTTTATTCAGATTCTGCTGTAGGTGATGCAGTAATGGAGGAGAGAGAAATAAAAGAGAGGAAGATAGAGAAAAGAACAATCAGCATGTAGTTTTACAACAAATTGAATTAGAAATAACATGGAAAGCAAATTACTATTTTATGGAAATGAAAACCTTTTTTTTACCCATGTTTAGAAGACTTTCACACACACACATTACTGGGCATTGTTTTTGCCTGACAATTCATAGAAGATGAGTCTCATCTGTGCCAAGGGTTCTAATCCAGGTCTTCTCCAAGCTCCTTATTATGAATTATTGAGGAATGTGGACTTAAGAACCCCTGCATAAAAAGTCTTTGAATATGAACAGTTGAACACACTACATGTACATGGAATCTTCCTCACTAGTTTTCTCTTGCCAATTGAAATTTCCAACCATGATTCCTGTATATAGTTTTCCAAGGAAGTTTCTGAGTATTCATCATGGATAATAATATATGCAGTTCGGCAGAAAAATGATCTAATTTTCCTTTTGACTTCAGTCAAATGTTTGCTTGGTGATACTAGAGTCAATTCGATGCTACCATAACTGTGTCCATGCCTAATTTGTTCTTGTTGTCCATACAGCTGCATTTTGATGATGCACTCGGTGCTTATTTTGATTTTGGAAATCATACAGAGAAGGTAAAGTGTATAGTTTATTTACATGTAGTATTAGTATACATACTGTTGCGAGATTAACACAATACATGAGTTCCTTATTCACATCTGAGAATGAGATTTTCTTTACACATTGAACCATGCTAGGTTCAACTTAAATGGAAAGAATTGGAAGCAGAACACAATTATGCTGCTCGCCAGCTTGTCCGGCATGTTTTGGAGAGGCCTGTATTGAGATTGGTTCCTCATATTGGTTATGTTAGTTTGTTCCCGTTCATGGGGAGGATCATTCCATCTGTAAGTGATGCACATTAATTCTCGTTATCATGACCGTTTATGCGAAGAACTAAGAATTTAATCCTTGAATTATTTCACAGATCCATATTTTAATATTACTGGTTCATTCAGGGATCATGGATTCTGGAAAAGCAGCTTGAGCTCATTTCAAATCGCAGCCTCTTATGGACTAACTATGGACTACGTTCTCTTGCCAAAACAAGGTCTACAACCTATTCTCTAATGTATATTTTAATGGATTTAATTTGAGTGACATGATTCAGCATATGTTGATTATAGTGAACCAAGAATAAATAGTTATTTTTACACAGTTCCTTGTACATGAAACGCAACACAGAACATGACCCTCCATACTGGAGAGGTCCAGTCTGGATAAACATGAATTACAGAATTCTTTCGGCGCTCCACCATTACTCCAAAGGTAATATGGACTGACGTAGGCAAATTATGTGCAAATATTCAACTATATTTATACCTTCTTGAATCTTGTAGAGAATGGGCCATATCAGGCCAAAGCTAAGGCCATCTATGAAGAATTGAGAAGCAATTTAATTAGGTATTGTTTGATTTTATTCGGTACCTTTTAAATCCAGTTTAAAGTTGGTTTTTTAAATAATATATTTCCTCCGTACTGCAGAAATATTGTGCGCAATTATCAAGAGTCTGGATTTTTGTGGGAACAGTATGATCAGACTAAGGGTAAGGGGAAAGGGGCACATCCGTTTACGGGATGGACATCGCTTGTAGTCTTGATCATGGCAGAAACATATGGCAAAATTTAGGACAAACACAGCTTGGAGAGGCTATGTTATATGATGATGACATGCATTCCTTCATTCCGTCTCATCTTTCGTCCATGAGTACCACCAGGGCAGGAAGGGGCGTGCAACGTCCTTATTTTAAATATGCACACTATATTTTCCAGAATATTTTATTTTTGAAGCCCTCCCAAATGCCAATATTATGGAAGAGGAACAGATCACATGTGCTTGGTAAAATATCCTCTTGCCATATTCCATCCACCCCAAGCTAAAATATGAGAACGTTGAAAGCAGAAAACTTATTTGATAAACGTTATGAATTACTTTTGCGGTAGTTTAATAAAAAAAATGTTTTTCTTTCATTTTTATCTTTCCAACTAAACCCTTCTGGATTAATCATGCATACTTTAGGGGGTATGTTCAAGAGAATAGTTGGAAGAAATTTTTAAAATTTACCCATTTTGCTTTGAAAAACCAAATGTGAGAGATTACTCAGCAGTTTCAGCTTCGTTTTCCCTTTTGTTGGTGGCAGCTGGCAGGGACATAACGTAACATGGTATAATATATTTGGTAAGTGATTTTAAGCATGTGGTTCGATTAGAAATTCAATTTTTAAGGAGCTTTTTATATACTCGCGCGACCTGAGATTTCATTGTGCCTCTGTTAAGAGCTATTTACGTACAAGCGATCCATATCTATAGGCAAGTTCAGCTTCCCCTTCAGTTAAGAGTATACAGAAACCTTCTCCCTCCAATGCCTCTACTATTCACATTACCACCAATCACAACATACAGGAAATTAAGTTAATAAAATTGCAAGAATATATATATATATATATATATATATATATATATATATATATATATATGTGTGTGTGTGTGTGTGGAT